TCTAAAATCTGTTACCGACTTATTCGTGGTCATTTAAATTTGTCGTCAATCAAATTATATATATGATTTTATCTTTTATTAATCATTTTTTAAATAAACAAAATAGTATACCTTTTACAATCGGTTACCGACTTATCCGTAGTTATTTAAATTTGCCAACAATCAAATTACATATATGATTTTATCTTTTATTAATCATTTTTTAAATAAGCAAAGTACTATAACTTTTAAAATCTATTACCGACTTATCCGTAGTTATTTAAATTTATTGCCAATCAAATTATATATAATTTTATTTATTATGAATCACATTTTTTTTTCTTAATTTCATACTTCAAATAAACAAAATTGTGGAACTTTCAAAATAGGTTACCAACTCATAATATATTGGCATTCAAATTATATAAATAGTTTTAAATTTTATTAATCATTTTTTTTTTTAATTTCATACTTCAAAATAAACAAAATATATCGGTTTATCTACTTATCCGTAGTTATTTGAATATATTGGCAATCAAATGATATCAAATTTACTTTTTTCTTTTACCTTTTTATTATTTTGTACTTGATATCAAATTTTTTGTATTTATTTTTGGCAGCAAAGGCTATATTTGGAGAGCAGGAATGGTACTTCTTCAGCCCAAGAGACCGGAAGTACCCAAACGGGGCCCGACCCAATCGGGCCGCGACATCGGGCTACTGGAAAGCCACGGGCACCGACAAGCCCGTCTTGACAGCCGGTGGGACCCAAAAGGTCGGCGTGAAGAAGGCCCTCGTTTTCTACGGCGGAAAGCCGCCCAAAGGCATCAAAACCAATTGGATCATGCACGAGTACCGGCTGGCCGACGGCAAGGCCCAAAACAATAAGCCACCGGGCTACGATGTCGCCAAGAAGGGCTCTCTAAGGGTAAAATCGTCAATTTATTATGGTATTTCTTTTTTTATTTATTCTCAGCTCAGCTTATCTCTGACTCGTTAACTTTTATAAAAAGAACCAAGCTTTAACTCGTAGTTCGACTAGATTAGTTAACGAGTTTGAGCTTTAGTAGAGGAGTTCGAGTTCATCTCTGAGCTAGTTTACAACTCAGTTGATATAAGCAACGAGTTTCATTATTAATGTTATTTATATATATATTGGTATTATTATTTTGGTCTAGCTTGATGATTGGGTCTTGTGCCGAATATACAAGAAGAACAACACAGCTCAGAGGCCGTTGGATCACGAGAGGGATCCGACGAACGAGATGGGTCTCGGGTCGATCCATGCGCTCAAGCCTTTGTCAAACTACGGCTCGTTTCTAGAAACCGAGCACGATTTTTACGACCAACAAGGGATGATTTGCTCGTCCGGCTCGAAGGCACCAACACAGTCGTCAATACAATTCCCCTTCATGGCCGCAGACCCCGCAGTCTTGTCCGGCAAGCGAACGATGCAGAATCTGTACTGGGGTGGGGACGAAAACGTAAATTCAGCTCCCCAACAAACGAAGAGGTTCATCGCGGAAAACTGTGAGGGGGGCTCGAATAATAATTCGATGGTCAACAACATTCTGAGTCAGCTGCCTGCTCAGTCGCAGGTGGTGATTGAGAACAATATTGGGGACGGGGTGTTTCGCCAGCCGTACCAAGTTTCGGGCATGAATTGGTACAATTAACATCGATTTTTTGGTGTTAAGAAGCATTAATATCGGTGTTTCATCTCGTGTTCTGAGTATTCTGAATACACGTGGCAAGCGTGCACTGGCCAGTTTGGCCAGTGCAGACTTTGTCATATGACCATGATGATGTTTTGGAATATGAGATGGTATGCTATTTTTAAAGATAGGAAAAATTATAACTATTTTTAAGGGGATTAGTTGATACAATGTGATATTATGTGAGATTTTGATGCTATAGGAAGAATATTTATATACAAGAATTTTATGAGGTGATGCATCTATATATCTCTTGAAAGTATAAGTAGATATAAGGGTTTTAGGATAGATGAGGGAGTATATACTTATATATTAACCCCTTTTTTTCTTAAATTTGGTGTTATGTATGTATGTAAGATTTGATACACTATATATGTACCTTTGCTCATTGTATATGAAAAGTTATAGGAAAAAAAAATAATAAATTATAATATATCTTGTTTGTAGTTGCCATTATCATGTGGGAAAAAATATATTGTGAAAAAATTAGCATATATGTGAAATTCGGTAGATTTCAGTCTAACGGCGTTCACTCAATGCCGGTGAAAATTCAGTTGAGTTGAATCCTCTATAAAATTCTATGTGCAGATCAAAAAGGAAAAAGAGGTTTTGTGCAGTGGAAAGTTTCTTGAATTTTTATCTTTTTGTAGCTTACTTTTTGCAAAAATATCTGATAGTAAATAAAAAAATAAAAAAATAAAAAAAAAAGTCACGAGGCATGGGTTTTATTGGGTTGTTTTTTAGTCAGCAAACCCTAATCAAAAGATACCCCAATATTTCTTCATTTAAATTTTAAAAAGAAATCTACAATTTTATTATTATTATTTGGACAACATGGGATTGTAAATTATTCACATGTTAAGTGCATAGTCTATTTTTCTGATCACACTATTAACGTAAATCTGAACTTTTTAACAAATTTTCTGTTAGTGACAGTCACAGCATACGCGTGGAATTAATTAGTTGTAGTCTAAGTATCTTGAATATATAATTTAGTGTAACTTAAATATCACAAATTGACAGCAAACAAATTTTCTAGTCAGCAATTATTATAACCAAGGAAAAACTCCAATTAAATATACCCACACCTAATAAAAGAACATTTTATTTAAATATCTTATAGAAGACACAATCACAAAGGAACAAATATTCAAATGCAATAATAATTTTCCAATTTCCATTACCTAAAAAGCTTAGTATGCATCTTCTCCGTAAAAGTATCCACCTCAAATATCTAATTTTTAAGTATTCACATGCCATTTTTTTTAAAAAAAAAAAATAAAATCTTTTTGAGACATTAAAAAGTAAGATAGACAAAGGTAAAATAACTTTTGATCTGAAGAAAGCATTATTCAGGAATATAAGGAAAAAATATTAGAAAATAGAAAAAAATTAAATAGCCCCTTATCTTAATTTGTCCTAATTATGACAGCTATCATTTCCAAAATTTTCTTGATTTTAATCTAGAAAAATAAAATTAAATGAAATTTTACAGATATTCCGGGGTGTGGGTGTCATTTTCTTCTATGTTTGAAAAGGCTTAGCTACCCAAAGTATATTAATTTACCACCACAAAAATTAGCTCTTAGCACTTAATTTTGACAACAAACAAGATGCCTACACTAGCACACTTTGCAAAATGGCTTTTATTTCATTTTTCTCTTTTGATGAATTTTGGGGACCATTTCACTAGTCAGTAAAAGGAATCATTATCTTTTTAAACCACACAAATTTAATTAGGGTTTTAATCACCTTCCCTTTTAAGGGAAGTGTACAAAACAACTTTAATTCGATGTCTCAATTCATGGACAGAGGAAAAATAGATGATGATAGTGATAAAGATGCACTAATTTGAACGGTAAAGCTATTCTAGACGAGTTTAGCTATTATTCACTCATAATATTTTAATAAGTATACTTATCTTTTGTAATATCATATATATGACATTTCGTGATATACGTATACATTTATTTAAAAAATATGATGGATCAACTAGCTTAACCATTAATAGACTACCTCAAGGCAAGGGTGTAAACATGATTAGTCGAGCTCGAGTCTGTCATTGAGCTCGAGTTCGGCTTCTTTACTAATATTAACAAGTTCAGCTCGAGTTTTAATTAGTCTAATTATAGAAAATTATATAGAAATTCTTACTTTCAAGCTTTAACAAAATGAGCCGCCGAGCACACGAGGATTTCATTTCATTCATTTATCGGTCCACAATGAAAGATAAATTTCCTTGGACTAGGCTATTTAGTTTTGGGCCTTAATTGTAGTCCATAATTTTAATGGATAATTAGTAATGTTAATGATAAAGCTGAGGGTGTTGGGCCAGCCACATTTGAAAATACAAGTTGCAGAAGTAATATGAAATATTTTGTTAGTGACTTGGGCTGATTCCTTCAGCTATTGACTATAGCGTCCCACAAGCCCAGTTGACTAACTTCTCTGTGATCAGTGGGCCATGATTTTACAAGTCAGATAATTAAATTAATGGTGGTCAAATACAACTGCCTGACTCGACTTATTCATATGCTGTTTTGATTTCCGATCAAATTTTATATTCAAACTTAAGTGGTAACTTTATAATATATATTATATTGAGTAGTTGCGAATAATACAATATTTTAGGACTTAATTATTTTATTTAAATTGGATGACTATCAAGCTACCTAACTATTAAGCACTAGCAATTTTTTGAACATTATACAAACTTATATAATTTGTTATACGTGATGATTAGAGCTATCGGTTAGTTAATTAACTAGCTGATAAACTATCGAGTCTTGACATATTCTAAATGTTCGTATAAATTTACATAAGAATTAATATATTTTTCTAAGTCATAATAAGTCGAGTTAAACTCGACTCTTTAATTAATTATAGGAGTCATCAAATCCGAGTCGTTTCGTATAACTACTAATCAAGGGTGGTGCAATTTTTATATAATTGAAAAGTTACCACCATTCTTTTCCAATATGTATATATTCCATTGAATTCTCTTTTAGAATCTTCATCAATAGTGAGTAGTAAATAAATAGTAGAAAATTCCCTCTCATTTAAACCATTTCCTATTATTAATTTCGTGTGTTTGTGATGAGAAATTTCCTTGTTCAATCTCATATAATTATAAATAAAAATAAAAATATAAATAAAAAGTAGTTAGAGTATTTGACAAGACATTCCCAAAACCGTGTCCTCACGAGTCAATTCAATTTTCGCCTAAATACAACAGTTTTGAATTCTACAGATACTCTTCTCACTTGCAATATATAAATCCAAAGTCCAAACATCTCTAATCTTAAAAAAAACCCAAATCTAAAAACCAAAATTACGTTTCAAATCAAATCCCTAACACCACTTCTTTATGGATCCAAAAGGTAGCAATAAGCTCCCGCCGCCGCCGAAGCCGCCGTCCTCTGCCTCCGGGATCGGGGCCCACCGGAGCTCTCACCCGGCGCCGCCGAGGTCTAGATCGGTACGCTACTTGTGTCGATATGAGTTAGCGGCGCCGGAAAGTAGGTTGCGGAGGAGGCAGCCTGCCTGCAAGGAGATTGTCCGGAGGGCGCTGACGCCGCCGTGCCAGAAGCTGAGCTGGCGGTGGCGGAATTTCCGGCCCACGCCGAGCCGATTCGCGAGCGTGTCCGTGGCTTGATTCGTCGGGGTCGAGTCTTTAGGGAAAATAATTAATTTAATTATTTTTCCATGATTTTTTCTTTTTCTTTTTCCTTTTTGTTTTGGTCATTTTATTGGGAGATGAAATTTTTCGAGTAGTAACCGCTGTATGTTTCCGAGGTTACGTTGTATAAATATTTTGTTACTTGTTTAATGTTTCTGATATAAAATTGAATATTCTTATTTAATTATCCTATGTTGAGTCTGGATTATTATTATTATTATTGATTTATTATTACGGGTAGCTTATTCTTATTTGTGTAAGTATGGTGAATACATGAAAAAGCACCACACCAGTCTAAGAAAGTTGGGTTGGAAAGCTAAAAGCGCCTTAGAAACGCATGCGAGATAAATAACAATTTAATGATTTATAGCTAAACAACTTTACTTATTGTGAATGCTCTGTGATTTATAGTTCAACCACTTTACTTTAGTCTCTAGTCTTTTGTTAGCACTTTTCTCACAAACTAGTGCACACGGCTATATAAATTTGGAGAATATTATAATTTGACATGCATTAAGATATACGAGAGTTTAATACATACAAATATTATTGAATCATAAAATGTTCGTCACGAAAAAATCTTATATTATTAAAAATTTTTGTGTACACAAAATTATGAGTTTGATTATTGGGATACGGGCTGCCGGATTCGCCGGACACGGGCTGCACAAAAGGCTGTGAAAATTGGGCCTCACACAACTGGACTCCATTGCTGGGCTTCTCTCATAGGTTGCGGATGCTGAATGCTGTCGTTGAAAAAATTACCCCACACACTTGGACAACTTTTCTTATTTCTAACTATATTATAAATTATATTTTATTCCAAGTTTAAAACTTTTTCAATCTTATTTTATGTAAATAGTTATTTTATATTTACAGCTACACTAATAAAGCATGTTTTTAGTTTGAATCATGTTACTTCCTTAATAGTGAGTTGAATAATTTATAGATAGAAACATAATTTAATTATTCCCTCTAATTTCATATTCAACATCCCCTCTTATTTCATATTCCATCTTTCACAATTTTCTCCAAATAAAACAACAAAATTATATACAACAATTATTAGGTTGACCATCAAATAAATCAAAATAAGACTGTAAATAAACGTAAACTTTTCCTTAATAATTTTTATATTTTTTAAATAAAAATTGTAATGTTTCGACATAAAGTTGGTTTGTATGTTTTTCATTAATTGTTTATGAATAGGCTATCTATCTTAATTTTTGTTCAAAATTGGTTTATTTTTTATTTATATCATCAGACTTGATTGCACACGTTTTTTATGGTAATATCAGATAACATCATAAATATTGTCTTTGATACGGATCAACTTTAAAGACTCTCGAGAATAATCAACTATGTTTTACTTTGAACATTTTTAAAAAATATTCAGCACGTGAGTTTTTTTATGTAAATGAATAATGTACAAATTACGTATACGTTTTAATAAAAATTGAATCTATTAACATTTTCATTACATTTGAATGTAATTTGTTTATATTAGTTTATATTAAAAAATATAATTATATATTTTGACTTAAAATACTTCAAAAATTTTAAAAAATTCAAGTCTCAGTATTCATGTACGAATTAATATTGTACCACAAAGTAGTTGTTGTCTTGTAGTTATATTATTTGTACATTAATAAACTGATCTTAAGGGATAACCAAAAAAAAAAAGAGTTTTACAAAAGTGAAACAATTCCATATTTTGAAGTAGTAAATCCCTTCATATAAGAGATGATTTGT